GAGGCAGAGGCAGGTGGCAGATCCACCCAGTCTACATAGTGGGTTCCAGGCCAGTCAGGGATACACAGTGAAGCCCCGTCTAAATAAGTAAATTATTTACATGACAGTGCTTTAGTTCTCTGACCCTCGTCCCTTCCATTGGCCCCTGCTGCTTCTCTTGTGGCTTTGATATCTCGAATGTTTTAGGTTTGTAAGCCGGAGCTTCTCCTTTGTTCTTGGAACTCTTTATCTGTTAGAATTGTTGAAGGCCTTGGCTGATTCTGTGACCTTCCAGGGAGGCATTGTACTTATCTGTTGGCAGTCTGGGGACACAGCTTGAATTTGTTTTCAAATAAACACACTTTAAGGTTTTTGAGATAACAAAAGTTTAGGTTGCGAAATCCACTGAAGTGTTGCAAGTTTTCAGGGAGACTGTCCTGTCTTTGAAGTAGAGACAGACACGTTTCCTTTTTGTTCCCTTCTGTCTTGCTCAGGACCCCGAGGATGTGGCTGTATGGGTTCTTAGCTATCACAGGCCCTAGGTTTCACCATTCTGTAAGGCTGGGTGCTGTTCTGTGAAAGGACCCCATGATGTGTAGCAGCCAGTGTGCGACAGTTTTCTAGCATTTGGCAAGAATCCATGTGCCTGTCACATTCCTTAGGGTTCTAGCTTCATTCTGTCTTTTGTTCCTGTGGATTTTTTAAATTTAATTGTGTTTATGTATGAGTGTATATGCACATGTGAGTGCAGGTGCCCTGGGAGGCTAGAAGAGGGTGTTGGATGCCCTGGAGAAAGGGACAGACAGACGGTTGTGAGCAGCCTGACTTGGGTCTTGGGAACTAGCTTGGGTCCTTTGCCAGAGCAGCAAGCACACTCTTAACCACAGAGCCTTAAACCCTCCACCCCAGCAATAAGCCTCAGGAATAAGTTTTTCCATCCTTAATACTCAGTGTCTTCAGAGTCTCAAGTGAAGATCTGCTCTGGGACCCGATTTCTCCCATTGCCGGAAGTGGACCCGTAACTGTGTGTGTGAGCGGCTTAGATTGCTCGTGCTTCCTCCTAAAGGGCTCTGTTGGCTTGTGCACCGAGTGTATGCATTCATCTTGATGTTTGTTTGCTTTCCGCTTTGTGGTTTATTGCTGCTTGAGAGTCAGCGTAACGCTCCGTTTTAAACATTCGGTTATTTTTACTTTTATTAGGTCGCATTACCATGAAACAGTTGATAGCCAAGAAGAGGCAGTTGGCTGCAGAGGCGGAGGTAAGTACAGTAACAGTTTAAATATTCTTCATTTATTTAGTTAGGTTTTTATTTTTATTTTATTATTATTATTTTTTTTTTTTTTTGACAGATTCTCATGTAGCCCAGGGCTGACCTGGAGCTCCTGACCCTCACCCTCTGCTCTTTCTTTTATTTTGTTACTGTTATTGGGTGTTTTTGCTGGGCACATAGATGGAGGTCGGATAGCAACATGCCAGAGTCATTTCTCTGTGTACCCATGTGGGTCCCAGGGATTGAACTCAGGGCGTCAGGCTTAGCATCAAGCACCTTGACCAGCTGAGCCATCTCACTGGCCCAGCCCCGTTTTTGTTTCAATGTATTTTTAATTTTCTGAGACTCCCTGTCTAGTCCAGACTGGCTGGGAACTGTAGTTTCTCCAGCTCCAGCTCCCAGTGCTGGGATTGCCACCTCGTCCCACTTGTTTAAGAATTATTTGCCTTGCTGGGTGGTGGTGGTGGCGCATGCCTTTAATCCCAGCACTCACGAGGCAGAGCCAGGCGGATCTCTGTGAGTTCGAGGCCAGTCTGGTCTACAGAGTGAGATCCAGGACAGGCACCAAAACTACACAGAAACCCTGTCTCGAAAAACCAAACCAAACCAAACCAAACAAACAAACAAACAAAAAGAATGATTTGCCTTTCTAATAAGTGGACATCTAGCTATGGAACAGGAAATAAGATCTGTCACTGTCATCTCATGTCAGAATGCACGTTGCCCTTCTCTCTGGTTCCATCCATTAGCGCCATCGTCCGGCTTTTATAAGCAAATCTTTACAGTAGTGAATGAACTCCATGAACAGCTGCTGTAGATGTGAGTGCTTTGTGAAAATACCTGCCTTAGTTCCTACTACATCTGCTTCCATTAAATGTTCTGAATCTAGAAGCTAATTACCTGTCAGGGAAGTAGAAATCTTTTTAAAAACTAGTGTGGAGCCATTTTAAATGTGGATGGACTGTCTTATGAACCTTAGAGGTTCGGCAGTGCCTTTAAATTCTAAAAATACCCGATTTTAATTTGATTGTGTTAAACTTTCCCCTTTCCTAATGAGATCACTATCAAAGTTCACTGGTAAAACTGAAGATATAATCAGTATCCAATGACCTGTTTGAGTTTTCTAGTTACCTTTAAAGGCCAAGGGGATGTTTCCCCTTCATGTAATTTGTTTGAAATACAGTCCTTTCTTGACCCTAGAATGGGCAATGCTATCTCTGGAAATATTAGTACAAGAGCTTATTTGCTTAACATGAATAGAGTATTCTTCATGCAACATACTCTAAGTGTATTTGTGATGTCTATTGAACTGCTTTATAAAGTGGTATTTTAAAAAGTTGTGTTTGTGTGTGGGATGTGGGAGTGTCACACATGAGTGTGGAGGGAGGTCAGGGGACGGCTGTGACATTGTTCCCTCCTTCCATCACGTGGGCCCCAGGGATTGAACTCAGGTTTTCAGGTGTGGTAACAGGAGCCTTTACCTGCCCAGCCATCTTGCTGGTCCAGACAACGTCTTTTCTGACTAGTATTTCATCGTTCAAATATAAAGACCCGTTTGAAGACTTATTAGCCCAGGTGGGAGGCACATTCATGCCTATAATCTGTAGTCCCAGGAATTGAGAGGCTGAGACAGGAGGATTGCTATGACTTCAAGGCCTGCCTGGGCTGCATAGCAGACCTTGTCTCAAAAATGTGGGGCTGGGGGGATGGGTCAGTGCTTAAGAGCACTTGTTCTTGCAGAGGACCCAAGTTTGGCTCCCAGCTCTTAGATTAGGCAGCCTACAACACCTCTAACTCCTCAAGCTCCAGGGGATCTGACTCCCTCTTCTGGTCTCCACAGGCACCGACACACATGTGATACACATACGAACATGTCTGTACACACATGCTTAAAAAATAAAACTAACTCTTTAAAAAAGATCACCAGGTGCCGTATTTCAACCGAGTTGACTTAGGGGTGAAGTCGGGGCCTAGAGCGATGGCTCGGAGGGGGGCGGGCAGGAGCACTGGCTGCTCTTCCGAGTTTGAGCCCCAGCGCCCCTGCGGCTGCTTACAACCTCCGTAACTCCAGTCCCGGGGATCCAGGGGCCTTGTCTGGCCTCTGATGACACTTCATCCACGTGCTGCCCAGAAATACATGCAGACAAAACACCCATCCGCACAAAATAGTAAATACAAGAAGAATGAAGCTGGCCTCGTTGCTGATTGGCCCCAATACAAGTTAGTGTCACAGGCTGGACCCTGGTGACTAATGGGCAAATCTGTTTTCCTTAAGTGTTTACGAAAGTATGATAACAGATTTCCGTAAGAGAGAAGAAAAAGCTGAAGTGGTGGGAACCTTGTCATACAGATTCCTGAATCCACCGGGGAGAGATTGTGGCCGGGAAAGTGGGGGTGAGGGGAGGGGGGCAGGAAGAGCACAGAACTGGGGAAAGTGAACTTTGGGGCCTTGGTTCTGTAATTTTGGGACAAGCCCTTGCTAGGTAGCCCAGGCTAGGCTTGAACTCAAAACAGTCCTCCTCCCTAAGCCTCGGAGTGATGAAATTACTAGTCTGAGCTACCATGCCTGGCTTATGGCTTTAAAAGAGTACTCCATGTATCCGTTTTATTTATTAGTGACTAAAATCATCAAATTCTAGGACTTGTGAAATGCCTTAATGAGTAAAGGCTCTTGCTGCCCTGACTGACAACCTGAATTCAGTCCCTGGAACCCACCTGGTGCAAGGCGGGAATTGACTCCCTAAAGTTGTTCTCTGACCTCCACAGTTGTGCCGAGGCACTTGAACGCCCACACACTCAGTATTAATAAATAAATAAAATGGGAAATCCCCTGGTTTAGTCATTTGGAATCAGGAGAAAGTAATAAATGCTATAAAGAAGTAGCTGAGGAGACGGTGGGCATTAATCTAGCCCACAGTATTAATTATGTGTATGGGACAAGGCTTCAGGGTTGTTGTGAGATATGTTTCCTGCTGTTAGGGGCAGGCAGCAGTCTGAACACTGGCTTGGAGGTAACAACCTGCACTGTGTCTCAGGTCTTTGATGTTATTTGTGCTCTGCTGGGATAAATGGAATGGACGGGGACATGTAGTTGGAAAGAGGGCTTACATTGTATTCTTTCCTCTGTTTCATGCCCTTCTTGGTGTAGTTCTCTACCTGTTTAACTTCATACCTTCACCAATCAAAATAATATAATATAGTCCTCGAATTCTAGCTCATTCTGCTGACCACAGTTTTCCTGACCATTCTTCCTTTGAATACGCCCTCCCCATCTTGTCCTTCTGAGTTTTCAGCCTATAATTTGATTGATTGATTGATTGATTGATTGATTGATTGATTGAGGTACTGTTGAGAAAACCTAGGGCCTTACACATGCAGGCCAGCTCTCTCCTACGATACTGAGCATCATCCCTAGCCCGATATGTTTGCTTGTTTAGAGACCTTGAACTCAACTCTAGCCCAGGCAGGCCTGAGCTTGCGACCTTCTGCCTCCTGTTTAGCTGAGATTCCAGGCCTGCAGCAGAGCTTCCCTGCATTTATTATGTAGTGCTTTGTTCTACACGAACCTCTACACTCCGTTTGATAAACTTGTGACTTGATTTAAATGCCCCTGAACTGGCATTTGCGGGCGGGGGCATAGTAGTTTTGCTTGGTAGAGTGCCTTCCTAACACACATGGAGCCGTGGGTTTGATCCCCAGCACCTCTGTCAAAACTGTCCATTTTTCTTTGACCTCTGGGCTTCCAGTCAAAGGTCAAACCTCACTTTCTATTCGGCAACGCAGGCTACATTCTTCCGAATTTCCTTTCTCGTTTTACTTAAATGTATAGGTGCATGCCTCTAGTCTACCTTGGAGACTTTTAGGAAAGTCCGGTCATTGGTCTTTTCATTTCATCATTTAAAAGAACTAGAAAGCTCCTGCCCTTGGGACTGTTCGTTCAGCCTTTCAGATAAAGATGAAAGAGCCGTCCACGTGGACCAGGGGAGATGTGTTGGGTGAGTGCAGACTAACAGGATTTGGCTGGTTGGCCTGCTCGTGCCGCTCTGTCCTTGGGCTGGCTTCACGCGCTGTACGAGGTGGGCGATACAGCAGCTCAGTTAGATACCTTAAAGATCTATGAGGTTGTGTCCGTAGTAAGGACTTCCCCAGTTTTAGAGGTGGTGAAGACCTCGGCTGAGGTGCGCTATGTTATCTTACTATTTTGTGTGGGTTTGGGTTTGTTTTCGTTTTTGTTTTTTTGAGACAGGATCTTACCTTGTAGCCCAGACTGGCTTGAGACTTGAGTCCTCCTGCCTCAGCCTCCCAAGTGCTGGAACTGTAGGCATAAACCACAGTGTCACCAATTGCTCTAATTTGTTGTGTGGTTAATGAAACCAAAACCTCAAAACAGTCAAAGGATGATGACTTGCAGGATGCTGATTGAGGAACACTTTCTACATGTCCTATTTAATATCTCTGAAACTGGAATAGATACACTGGGCTATGTTTACAGTTCACATCCCCACCCCCTTCCCTCCCTTCCGGTCACTCCCTCTCATCCCTCTGCCTCTGGAAACAGAGTCTCGTGTAACCCTGGCTAGACTCAAACTCACTCTGAGGTTGAGGTTTGTGCTGAACTCTTGATCTTTGTGGCACCACCTCTGAGTCAATGTATTCACGGCATGTGCCAAGTCTGGAGAGGAAACTCTGTAATCAGTACCACACAAAAATCAGCTTCGCCGGGCAGTGGTGGCGCACGCCTTTAATCCCAGCACTCGTAGGCAGAGGCAGACGGATCTCTGAGTTCGAGGCCAGCCTGGTCTACAAAGCGAGTTCCAGGAAAGGCGCAAAAGCAAAGCTACACAGAGAAACCCTGTCTCGAAAAAACCAAATAAATAAATAAATAAATAAATAAATCAGCTTCATCTCGATTAGATAGAATACTTAAAAAAACGAGAAGAGGTCTGGGCGTGAAGACGTACACTCAATGACGTACACTTGCGAAGTGG